ACAGTATCCTTTAATTATAAATTGATATATTATTCACAAGCTTTATATAATTAAACATGCACTATCTAAATATTGTTATTTGTCTAACATTAGTTTAATAGCAAAAGTGAATTAAATGTGAAAATAATAGAAAATTACTTCAATATTTAAATAATACATATAAACATGTTGTGTAATTAACCCACAAATTATAGTAAATAGCCTAATAGCTAGTTTAGTGCTAATTAAAATGATTTAATAATTTATAAAATTATATACCAAATGAAACCATTTCACCACACTTTCAGAATGTGTGTAAAAAATTAATTTAGCTGGATCAATTAATTGATCAAATATCACACTTAAATGATTATAAAGTTTTGTATAAAAATTTAATTTAGGATATAATTTTATAATTTTAGATAAATTATTATATTATTTTAATTGACATTAATCAAACCAAAATTATTTAAACTTTTTACTATAATTTTCGAGTTTATTGCATTAAATGTTTATTATTTAAAGGTTTAAGTGTAATGTTTTAGTATTTTTACTTTTAATTTACTTTTGCTATTAAACTTATATTTGATACCAAGTCTGAGAATTATTGATAAATCATTCATGTGATGAATATATTAATTTAAAAATAAATCTATCTAGTAAATAATTAAATATTTATTAATTATATAAGTAATTGTGAAAAGTTTAAATTTGAAATTAATTTTTATTATGTTATTTATAATAAAAACTAATCAGTTATTTATTTGACATTAAATGGTTTGAGATTTAACCTAACTTTTTGTGATATTTAATTTAATTATTAAACTAATTATTTATATCATATTTGGACCATTAGTTGTTATTTGTTTAAGTTTGCATGTTAATATTTTTAAAATACGGTATGTTACAAATAGGTTAACAAAACTAGTAAAATAAACTCGTTTCATTAGTCCTAGTAAGTTTTTGTTTAAAATAATATTTATTATAACATAAAATCCATAAATACTTTGTATGAACTTTGAACAATAAATGTATCCAAGATATATTAGTATATAAATCACTTGAATGTGATATTTAATCAATTTAATAAATTAATTGTATAACAATACTACACTATATTCAATTGTCAACAGTACTTGCTGACATTTGGGATATATTTTTACATTTAATTTATACGATTAAATAGCGTATTATTTTTATTTTAATTAATACTCACCAAGGAGTTTATATAAAATCAAATTTTCATATGATATGCGTTGAGATTTAAATTAATTTTGTATGACTTTTATTTTTTTTATGAAATTTATTGTGAATATAAAAACAATAATATCATTCATGTTATGATATGTGTAAATAATCTTAAAAATAAACTTATCTAGCAATAATCCTAATTTTAAATCTACAATTATATAACAATATACTGCATATAAAACTTAAACAATTGGATAATTAAAAAAAGATTTAAAATAACATTTATTTATTAATTAATTAGATATCAATTAATTATAAATAGCATTCAAATGAGACACTAATTGTGTGGACACACCTACAGCCCTCTATTCATCTGTCCGGTACAAAATAAATGTGCATTAGCCAGGACATTAATTAACGCTTGACACCCTTAACAATGGCAAACTCATAGGCGGCCAGGGACTAATTGTTCTGTTTTGCATTTTGGCATTAATGGCACCATGGTCAGTTACCATGGTTTGATATGTTACCAAAAAATTATGTCCGATAGACATAATGGTAACCCAATGTTATAGATATAGGCGCTCAGACAACATGTTTGACACATCTGTACACTAGTTATGGTGTGAATGCAGTCAATGGACCAAATTATTGGCAAACAAAGTGTCATAAAAATATTTATTTAAAATATAAATTGTTTTGTTTTAAGAAAATAGGAAATAATTTACTTTTATTTTATGTGAAAAAATAACACCTCTATGGGACAGGTATGCCAAATCCGATAAAGTTTATAGCTCAATCAGGGTAGTTTATACACTAGTAATTACTTTTATTTTTGCCATTTACCCTTTTATAAATATTTCATATTTCATTATTTGAAAACTTATAAAACTGAAGTATTTCACTGATTATATACTAATCAATAATAGATTTCATATAAAAAAGATATCCTAAATAGAAATACCAAGGTTTATCGTTAAATATGAGAGTCATTACAACCCAATTAATTAATTAAAATCAAATCTAAGCTAAATTATAGAATTATAAAATATATTTAGCTTGGTATGAATTAATCAACATCAATTTTTAAATTGTATAAAATCTAACATGTTAATATAGCAATTAATTATATTATGACGATTAATGAGACCAAACATAACTATATATTTTTACCTTGTTTGTTATGTTATAACTTGAATGCTATGGAATTGATTGTACTGTAGGCCTATCTAATCGTATAAAATTAGCTGTCTTATATAATAATTTAATGATTACTATGACAATAGGCATTACAATAATGTTTGTTACAGAGCACACACAGTTTGGGTCTTAATTATATTTATTGTCTAATGAAATACAGTTTTAATGATAATTTGCTAATTGTGTGCAAAATATGGACCAAAAGAATGTGACAAATATGTCCACTCTATCGGCAGTGGAGTCCAGTAATAGCCGATCTATATATACAAGTGATTTGAAGTTTATGTAAGAAAATGTGTTAATAATTCATACAATAAAATACAAGTTTTTATTAAAGAAATTATTAAAATTGAAAATATCATTCAATCGGTACAATTATTTCATGAACAACAAGAATAATTTTTATTATATTAATATTAACATTAACATTATATTATATTAATATAATATTACATATTAAATAGAAAAGCTTATGTGTATCGATTGACTTCAGTCATCCGCCTTGTTTAATATTTGTGAATTACAAATGAAGAGTTTGTGAGAAATTAAAATGATATATTATATATATATATGTTAATAATGTCATCAATATTAAATATATTTCCAATTTGTGAAAATATTCCACAAAACCTAAAGGAGCAGATCAAATTATTCCACGTATTTTATGAACGAAGCGAATTTACAAATATACCCGTTGGTTTCAACATATTATTTTCCACCAATGATGACACCGTATATGGAATGGGGTCTAATAATTGAGGTGTACTTGGATTGGGTCACAATAAAATAGTTGACTCACCCGTTATAGTCGAAGGGTTATGCCATAAATATATTAAAAATTATTTTAACGGTGAAACTTTCATATTGGGATTGACAACTAACAACCGCGTATACGGTTGGGGAAGCAATCATAATGGGGAATTGGGCAGGGCGCGTACACCAGTTGGCAATTATATAACACCTGAATGCATAATATTTAGTGACAATGAGGATATTTGCGGATATTTGAGGATATTTAGTGAGGATATTTGCTATATAAGCTGCGGACAATGTAGTTCTTTAGCTCTCACGTCAAATGGTGAGGTATACGCGTGGGGACGCTATTCATTTAAGGACCATGAGTTTAATTCCCTAAAATATAAACCTTATAAAATTGTTTTCCCGGAAAAATGTAAAATTAAATCGATTTATTGCTACAAAATGCTGAAATTCGCAATAACATTAGATGGCCTAGTATGTAGTTGGGGTGACGATGAGTATTATCAATTAGGTCATGGGAAAGTGGGATTTCAACCAACACCAAGAATAATAGCAAATATGTTCAACGTTAAAAATATTACATGTTGCGATAATATAACATATTTTTTAACTAGTAATGGTTTAATATATAATTGCGGCAAATACCGAAAGAACAACAAAGATTGTATTAACAAATACCCAGTGTTGCTGCAAACAGATGTTCAAATCACTGAATTTGTAAACCTTGATACCATTAAACTAGGCGATGGTTGCTTTGCAAAAGGGGAAAGCGAAGTTTACGTGATTTATAAAACAGATTTTATAAAATTGCCTTATACAAACATTTTTGAAGCAGTCGCCGATAAATTAAATATGACATTTAAAACAATAAACATACAACATATTACTCAATTTGAAAATAATTTAATTTCTTCTACTGAAAGTCAAAATTTTCAAGATGGTTTTGGTAAATATTTTTTATAAAATTTTAATTAAAGCATTATATGTTCTATAACTTAATAACAACGCTGAAAGAAACCAAAAATTATATTAATTAAAAATGTCGGAGTACAGTTAATTAAAAGGTATTTAGATTTTATGTCGGAGTAGGCCTTTTAGACCGTAGGCCTTGTGGGGTTGAAAATATAATTATTATATAAGATTTTTAACCTAAATCAACTAAATTATAAAATATGTGGTCGTTTTACCACTAATATAATTTTAATTGACAATTATTTAGTAAATCAATGCTAATAATAATATAATAATAACGATATTTATTTAAATAAGATCATTTTATCTTTTAAGATGATAACTTCGAACGAAAATTTATTATCCTTTCATATATTGGAGCTGGCTCATTTGGTAATAATAATAACGATATTTATTTAAATAAGATCATTTTATCTTTTAAGATGATAACTTCGAACGAAAATTTATTATCCTTTCATATATTGGAGCTGGCTCATTTGGTAATGTATATAAAGTACAAGATAAATTCACAAAAGAAATTCATGCTATAAAACAAATTAAAATTGAAGGTAAATTTGTTTTCATTATTTATAATTATGCATAAACATATGAATAATAACATTTTATTTGCTAAAGTTCAAATGAATTTTACATTTAATATTAATGATGTTATATTAAAAATGTTACATAAATTAACTGGCACAGATTGTGAAGATTTAACATGGAGGCTTAAGAAAAACAAGAAAGTATTTGAAGAAATAAAGAAATTATCTATGATAACATCGCCGTTTACTGTTAACATACTTAGAAATTGGTTTGAAAGCAACTATTCATATATTAAAATGGATTTTTATTCACAAAACCTTAAATCAATTATCGAAAACATAGGGCGGGTTTTTGTTCGTAATTTCGATGAACCGATGAATTTGATTGAATACTTTATTTCTTGCGAAATATTTAAGGAACTCTTAGAATGTGTTCAGTATTTACATGAATTGGATCCACATATTATTCACAGAGACCTCAAACCCGACAATATATTGATCGCCGAAAACGCAAGAGAGGGTCGATTCGTGAAGTTATGTGATTTCGGTTTGGCTGCACTTCATAATCACCTCAATCCTAATCACACGGGTGGTGTGGGTACTCTTAGATACATGGCACCTGAAGTTAGGATTAGTAACATGAAATACACTAATAAATGCGACATTTATAGTCTGGGAATTACCACGTATGAATTATTCAGTTTGGAGTATAAAATGTAAGCAACAAAATCTTTTAATTTCATTTTCTGTTTAAACTATAATTACGTCAATATATTTTTTATTTATAATTTGAATAGTGGCAATAATTTAAAACATCTCGAAATGAATGAAGAAATAACAAAAATGGAGATAATATTGGACTCCATGTGTGAGGTCCAGCCCTATAAAAGGCCCGATTGTTCACATGTATTGTCACAATATAATGAATGGGTTATCGATTGCAATCGTATCACTGAATTGGAAAATTTCAAACTAATATTAAACAATTTGAAAACCCAATGCGACACAAATTTTTATTATAATTTTTTAATTGACAAGGCTAAATTAAATTTACCTGAAATTGAGAACACCTATTTTAGTTCATTTGATGAATTAGAATTCATTGGTAAAGGATTATATGGATACGTGTACAAAGTGCGAAATAAAAGCACCAATGACATATATGCCATTAAAATGATTGAACTGACAGGTATTTACAATTTTGTGTTACAAAATGATTAATTTATTTAAAGAATTTATATAAATCTCTTTGTTTTGACAGGTTTAAATTATGATAAAACGCAACAACTACTTAATGAGCTTGGCAAATTAAAACAANTTTATATAAATCTCTTTGTTTTGACAGGTTTAAATTATGATAAAACGCAACAACTACTTAATGAGCTTGGCAAATTAAAACAAATGACCTCGGATTATGTAATAGAAATCCATGACTTATGGTTGGAGTCCAAAATCATTTACATACGAATTAAGTATTTTGAGCTAAATCTTAGAGAATTTATTCATCAAAACCAACTGAAATACGGTCGACAACCGGGTCATGTCATGGATTGTGTCGAGTATTTCATTTCATGTATCTATTTCAAACAAATCTTAGAAAGTGTTCAATATTTACATGAATTGAATCCACAGATCATTCATAAGAATCTAAAACCTGAGAGTTTTTTATTCTATAATAAACCCGGTCACAAACCAGGTTTTAAAATTAGCGATTTTTACATAAATTGCACCATGATGAAAAATAGAAATGATAATTCAAAGATATATATGTCACCTGAATTACTATCTGAATGTAACAATATAACATTTCAAACGGATATCTATAGCTTAGGTGTAATTGCCCAGGAGATATTTGATTGAAAATTTGAGTAAGTGAATATTATTATATTAATATTATTAATAATTAAAATAATTAATGTATTTATAAAGGAATCACCAACGTTAAAATTTGATAAATCTCTTTCAATAAATATTCGTGAGCTAAGTAAAATTATACTGCTCATGGTAAGTCCTATTTATGCTATGAGACCGTCATGTAGTGATATATTGGCCAAACGAAGTGTCTGGGAAGTTAGCATGGAAATGTTTGTTAGTAATTTAACCCCGGAACAAGCAACTGAATTTTTTTCGGAATAGTAAATAAATAAAACATTTTTAATAATAATTTGTTGGTTATTATAAAATTTAACTTAATAATGAAAGATTTTTATAAATAATACATTCCTCTGAGCTTTCAATTCAATGTAATTATAATTACAATTATTTTTTGTAATGCTATTTAATAAAATGTAAAAACATATTAATTAAATCGTGTTATAATTAATTAAATTTTACTGCATTTTGACAAATCATAAATATTTTTATAGATTTTGAATTTCGTGTTAATAGTGTATAAAAAATAACAGTTTCAATTATACCGCAAAATCAATTCTAAATCTTATAATATATTATACTTGTCTCGCTGTATCACAAATTATAGTTTACTTTTATTCATATAACTAATGGTCAGTTTTAATTTTATTATGGTCAGTTTAGAAATAAATTGAATACACAAACACCAATATTGCTACAGTACTATGCTGCATTATTGTCAAACATTGCAGACAATTGTGTTAAAACCTCATATTTGTGTTTAGTATTGCTCGGGATGTGTGACTCGCGGACAGTGTCTTAATACGTGTGAATGACTCAGAGGTCATGTCCGAAGATATTCCTCATCCATTCACACAATCAGATGACAAAGCATTCAGTGTTTCAATGGTTCCCATAATTGTCAAAAAGTATTAAACAATAATTTATGACTATTTTGTAATATTAACTAAAGTTTTACTTTTTAATTACTATAATAAAATATAAAATTAAACTAGGTTTATTTGTAAAAACAAAACTGACATAAAAATTTTAAATAAACTATTATGTTGAATATGTTTATTTTTTTATTCTGGTAAGTATTTTGATAAATAAATAATTGTTTTATTAAAATTTATTACATCAATAATTTACTTTAAAAGTTTTGTTTTAATGAAAATTATTAGCAAATAAAAAGTATTATGAATATATTTAAAATGTAATGTGTTTTGTTTTAATACAATAGCAAATGATTTACTTTTAATTTATAAGACATTAAAGTTATTAATAAAATTAGTTGCTTATTTTTTCTATTTTACCAAGGTTTTATCAAAAGTTATGATAAGATTTTATTTATAATGACAACCCTTTTGGACAGGAATAGTAAATCCAATAGATTTTACAGGTTTAATCGTGGTAATTTGCAAACTTATTATTAATTTTATGATTTATAAATATAATATAACTGTAAATTATAAAAATATTTTATATCGATATTTGAAAATACTTAAATAATTTACTGATTATATACTAATCAATAATAGACAATATAGAAATATATCACAAATAGAAATACCAAGGTTCAACGTTAAACATAAATATAATCACAACACAATTATTTAATTAAATTTATAATATTTAAGTGAATTATATAAATATATTTTTTTTACTTAGCTATGTTTAAAATAATACATTTTTAAATAAATTAAACATTTAAATACATTATTAATATTAAAACGATTAGTATAGCCAAACATAGCCAAGCGAGTTTATCAATAATTAGTATAATAATGTTATTATTTGAAAACTATGAAATTCATTGTATGATTGATTGATACTTGAATGATTTTAAGTAATTATTTTGATGTTTAGTTTATTGGTATAATTCATTCAAATATACGATATTCTTATAGTTCTCCGGATTTGAGTATTTATTCTGGATATGAAATACACAACAAATTCATAAAATTGGATCAAATCATAGACTCGATGTGTGTTCCCATTCATAGCACTCGACCCGAGTGTTCACAAGTATTATCAGAATATAACTTATGGTCTATTCATACAAATTGTCTCAAAACTGTAATTCAACAAAATGATTTCAATTTTTTTGTTAAGTATTTGTATGAAATACTTGGATCAGAAATCTAGTGATAAACTCATATCTTATTTAATAGAAATATTTCATAATTAAGTTAACGATTTAAAAAATTACTATAGCCAAACATAGCTATA